CTAGCTATCTCACAATGTTTACATATGAATAAAAGCCTACATTAAAATCTGTCATATAAATTGGTCTTTTCATTAGAAATTAGCCTACTGATTGCCACCACTGATGGACAAAATTTTTAAATAATATTAAAAATATCTGTATGACATGATATTCTGCAGTTCTTCCCTGTTGTACAGAATATCTATACTTTTCAAATTATCATATCGATGTTAGAATTTCAAATATTGTGACAAAATTAATTTTGTAGGGTGCCACAAGTTTGTTAAAATTTCCAAAGGGTGCCGCGACTAAAAAAAGGTTGGGAAACACTGGGCTACACCACATGCTGTATTATATACCGACGTTTAGCAAACGTTTAGCAAACACTGAGGAATCAAATAAATAAAAAAAGAGAGCTTCCATAGCATAACGTGAGGTAACCAGCAAAGATAACAAGTTTTCAAAATGAAAACAAAAAGAAAAGTAAAACTAAACTTGCTGTCGGTGACAGTGCTTGCATGTTTTTTCCCCACGAGAATACCAACATGTTCACCTTTGGTTTAAGAAGCGGTCTTTTACTTTACTTTAGCATGAAAACCAATATTCGCGTCATTTTTGCTTCGCGCTCCTGCTGACGCGGCGAGTATAAACCAGGCTCTACACTCTATAAGCGTTGCGCAGTTCAAACAAGTAGCGCGGTTTCGTTATGCTTTCAGTTTCGTTTGATGTTTCACATATGCAACAGAAATGGCAGCGCTTATGAGTTAAACAATGCGGTGTTCGCGCCAGTGCGACCGCACAAATAATTTAGTCGCACCGGCAGAAAAATTAAAGCAAAATGCGCCCATCTGGTCGGAGCCCTGTGCTGGACAGTATTTATTTATCCTCAGTTGTTCAAATCGCGGTAATCGAATACGGTTATTTACTGACCCCAAACTTTTTTTTTTTAATAGCTGTGTAAATTTAACACAGTTTTTATTTTGAATAAATACTGTTCTTTTTAACCTTTTATTTATCAAAGAATCCTGAAAAAATATCACAGGTCCCAAAAAATATTAAGCAAAACAACTGTTTCCAACATTGATTATAAATCAGCATATATTAGAATGATTTCTGAAGGATCATGTGACACTAAAATCTGGAATAATGTTGCTGAATATTCAGCGTTGCTTCACAGTAATAAATTATGTTTTCAAAATAGAAAATGGGTTTGTTAAATTGCAATAATAGGCTATTTCACAAAATTATTTTTTCCTGTATTTTTGATCAAATAAATGCAGGCTTGATGAGCATAAGAAACCTCTTTAAAAAACATTAAAAATCTTACTGATCCCAAACTTTTGAACGGCAGTGTATATATTCATATATATATAGGCTATAGACAATCTACCTCATGAACAGCTAAATATTCTCCCATTGTGCAATACAAATATGTGCAATAACCTTATACTATTTATCACTTTACATCCTAGTACATCCCTACAACTTTTTTTATTCTATTCATATTCTACAGTATTTTATCTATAGCACACCTGTACATATTTATCCTTTGTGTGTACATGTGTTTGTGTGTGTGCTTTATTTATATTTATACATATGTGTATTTTATTCACATCTTATTTTTATTATCTGTGTTGTTGTTGTTGTTGTTTTGTCTGTGTACTGGAAGCTTGTGACACTAAAACAAATTCCTTGTATGTGCAAACATACTTGGCAATAAAGCTTTTTCTGACTTCTGATGCGTGTGTGTAACATACAGTAGGCCTACTACAGTATGAAAATGCATATTTTTCAATTAAAGAGAACTTATAGAATAAATATGGACTGCTTTGGGTGCTTGACACTTCATTGGTCATTTTGTGTTTTAAGAATGATATTCAAGGTTAAGAATCCGCTGAAAGTTACTTAAATGTAAATACGACTTTCCTTATTGATCACGTCTTCCCTCAGCAAAATGCACGTTTTCTTGCGTGGCTAGATGTTAGATTCACGTTGTTTGCAGTCGCTCAAACTGATTTGCTGAAGTCGAAACGCGGTCGTTAAAAAACCCAACTCCGTCGAGTCCTGCTCGCTGAGAAGCGGGAGCGACCAGCCGGCAGAGGATTCCGCTTGATCTTAAAGCCTCCCTGGAACGGCTATGTTCACAAATCAAACACTTGTCAGAAAAGAATGATTAATTCTCAATTTAGAGTTTGTTATTCGTATGGTCTAGATGTTCATACGGCATATGCCTTAAATACGGGACAAACTGCGTTCCTTATAGCTTTCATACGGAACGCTTCTCTTTGATGCCTTAAATACGGGACGATTCCTTATTATATGGAACGGTTGGCAACCCTAGACAGAGCTGTAAAAACGGTTACGCTCACCAAGTGAATGAATCGCGTTTGTGCCGAACTCTTATTACAAAGCAAAAACAAACACCCTTCTTCGATCCATGAACGTTTCTATGGCGGCAATTCTATGCCATTCATAACCGAGCGCACCACTGATGCTGGCGCGCGCGGTAAATCACTTCCGCAAGAGCAAAACATCTCGGTTAGGTATGTAACCTTGGTTCCCTGAATAGGTTGTTTGCACATGACGTCACTGATGACGCGCGAAATGCAGCTGGAGGGCAGGAAGTGATTTTTCTCTCCATAGGAATTACTAGCAGAAACTCAAAATGCCTGTGTTTTGCGTTGTTTATGGATGCTCAATTTGGCCAAACCGAGAAACCACAAGGAGCTTTTATCGTGTTCGAAAATGTGTTGTTCATAAGTGGGGAAAAGTCAAGAAATTGATTGAAAAACGCAGGAAAAAGTGGCTTGTAAACCTGTGTCTGCGGTCGGGAGGAGCGAAGCTTGTGTGATAATGCTCGTGCATGCTAATGGTTATTATGGGATATAATAATATATTAAGATATTAATAAAGAAATATATAGATTGGGCTGCCACCTCTCACGCATTCAGAATTCACTCGGTGCTAAACGCCACACGTAGACACG